AATAATAAATTACTAATACCATAACAAAAGGTAAAGTAAAGCATTTAATATACACATATACATACATATATATGAATATATAAACAAACTTACATATCTATCCAAACATACAAAAATAAATTACAAAATTCCTCAAACAATAATATAAAGCTAATAAATACATAATCACATAATTTATCCCAACGGTGTCTGAACGATTGAGACAAATAATGATCTTTAAGTAGTCGCTTAAAGATTACAATAGATTGTAGGCTTCACGTATATGCAAAGGTAGGGTATTCCAGAGCTTAATAGACTGGACAGTAAAAGATTTATTAAAAAATGATGTTTTGTGAGTTGGTAACCTTAAAAAGAATTTTCTAGAAGAGCGTAGAGGTTCCCCAGGAAGCCCCACAAAATTAAACTTCTCCTTTAGATAGGGAGGAGCAGAAGGGTGAAATAATACACAGTAAAGAATAGAAGGAATATGAATGTTCCCGCGAAGTCGGATGGCTTGAGACGTGAGCGAAATTTCGATATATGGTCAAATTTGCGCAATCCAAATATGAACCGAATACTAGTATTTTGAAGTCTCTCAAGCTTAATTAGTTGGTCCTCAGTTATGTCTACTACTAGCTTGCGTCAGCATAGTCGAGAATCGAAAAAAGAAGAGACTGTGCGAACATAATTTTTGTAGGAATGGGAAGAAATGATCGAAGGCGACGCAGTGAACAAAAAGCGATAAAGGGTTTCTTACTTACCTCATTCAGTTGGTGGATCCAATTTAAGGAAATATCAATATAAATACCAAGATTTTTGACATTGTCAAAGTAAGGGATTACAACTCCATCGAATACGATAGGTGGTACGGAGAACCAGTCAATACTTGAGATAAAGCTCTGGCCACCAATAATGATAGCCTGTGACTTTTTAGGGTTGACATTTACGCCATATGATTTAATAATAATAATAATAATAATAATAAAACCATTTAATCAACTCAACAAACAGCACTGGCAAAAAATAAACAATCAACATGTACATATGTAGAAAACAGCAAGTATAATTAATATTAGCGAAAAATAAAAAAAAAATAAAAAAATAAAAGAAGAAACACTATAACATTCAACAATAAATAAAAAAACAATGTACAGGAAATGTGAGCGTTGCAATGCTGAGTCGATAGGGTCAGCTGCTCAGCATAAGCTGACACCCCTATTGGGATGACCAGCGCTGGTATTCTGCAGAAACCCGTGTGTGTGTTAACGCGTCGGTCAGTGGCAGATGCGAGAGTGAAATTCTTAATGTAACGAAGGCGTAAATAAAATTGAATATTAATCATTTCCAGCGAATCTCTTAATGTAACAAAGGCATAAATAAAATTGAATAGTATTTGAGAATTGTATAATTAACAATCAATAGTGCGGCAACGATTTTTACATAAAATCGTAAACTGAACATATAATATAACCTAGTTTTTTCTTATGGGAGTTGTGCTTTTTTGTTTTTTTTTTAAGCTATCTTTTTTTGGATTTCCATAAGAAAAAGTCTGATTTTAAATCTAAACGACGATTTCGTTTGTGCGTTCCTAATTGGTGGTGGGATGTTATTCCAGCATTTGGTTGCTGCATATCGAAAGCTGCCTCTAAACATTGCGGATCTATGTCGCGGTATTTTTAGGTGGCGACTGCGATTACCGCTGATGTTCCCTCTGCTCCATTCTAATTTGCTGCTAAGATAACTAGGTGTCTGCGATCTCAAAATGCCAAAAAGTAGACATGCTAAATGGTGCTGTCTGCGGTATCTCATGTTTAAAATGTTGTGTTGATTCAAAAAGGGTGTTACGTGACTACGGGGTGGAATTCTAAAACAAAAGCGAGCGCAGGCATTTTGAACCCGTTGAATCAACTTTTCTGTTCTTACATACAAGCATGGGCCGTAAACTGTGTCGGAATAATTTAATTTAGATAGAACGAGAGAGTCTACTAGGCGTACCCGAAGTTCTTCACTTAGATACTGTCGAACCTTATACAGGACTTTTAATCTATAAAAACAGTTGCGGACTACCTTTGATATATGGTTCTCGTATCGCAAATTTGAGTCCAACTCTAAGCCGAGGTTACGAGCCTCAAAGACACGTTCTAAAACCTCAGCACCTAACTTCACTTCACAATTAAGGGGAACATTATTTACATGAAATTTCGATCCGAATACTATATACTTTGTTTTAGTAGGATTAAGAATTAGACAATTATTTGTTGACCATTCCAATATTCTACCAAGGTCCTCGTTAAGCGACTGCACTGCCGAGCGCCATTCGTTAGATTTAAAAGAAATATATATTTGTAAATCGTCCGCGTATAAGTGATATCTGCAAGATTTTATACAGTTTACGATATCTGTTGTGTAGAGTATAAATAATAGAGGAGATAAGATCGTTCCCTGCGGAGTTCCTCTTGTTAAGGGGCTATACGTTGAACGAAGCGGTCGACCGTCTACTTGAGTGATTTCAACATATTGACCACGACCCGTAAGGTAGCTATGAAACCAACTGACCGTATCGGGATCAAAACCATAATATGTCATCTTAGCTAGTAGTAATTGAGTATTCATGCAATCAAAGGCCCTTGAAAAATCTAGAAGTACTAGTAAGGTACACATACCAGCATCCTGTGCATTAATAATATTGTCTGTAACATCTAGAAGAGCTGTGGTTGTGCTATGGTTTTTTCTAAATCCAGACTGAAATTCGGAAAGTATTTTGTTACTTTCAAGGTATTCCCTAAGTTGCATCGCAACAGCTTTCTCAACAATTTTTGACAAACAGGGTAATATACTAATGGGTCGTAGGTCCTTAGGTTCCTGTGGGTTTGAGTTTTTAGGCAGTGGCCTAACGATGGCCGTCTTCCAGACGTCTGGAAAGGTAGAAGTTACTATTGAACAATTAACGATAGATGCGATAGCACCTAGTGACTGTGGCAAGGTTCTAAGTAGCATTCCCAGAGAGATCCCATCTATGCCCTCTGCTTTCGATTTAAGGTTTAGTATAATTTTCGAAATAATGTCTTGTTCAACATAATGAAGGGAGAATTTTATATCTCCTATAAAACGGTTGCTATTGAAAAACAATAAAACTGAGGGCGAAACAGAGGAGGTCCCGGGTATATCAAGAAAATCTTTGTTAATTATGTTGGGATCTGTCAGATGCGCAGGTAAATGATAATTTTGTTTAGGAGGCAAAACAGATGATTTTAAGTTGCGCCATAGCATTTTTGGTTTATTTAAATTATTATTTATATACTGATTGAAGTATGCTTTCTTTTCATGATGAATTGCTTGTACAACTATAGTTTTAAGATTTTTATAATACGTCCTATGTGACTCCATTTTTGATTTCAAATATCGCGAGTGAGCAGCATTCCGTAATCGGATCATAAGCTTTATATTGTCTGTTACCCATGGATGAGGTTGCTCCTTAAGTACAATTCTTTTTATGGGAGCTACTAAATCTAATAAAGTAATAATATGAGAATTAAACGTATTCACTATTTGGTTAACATCACACATTTGTTCCAATGAATTCCAGCTAATTGAGTCTAAACAAGAATTAAGTATATCAATCGGTACGTCATTAAGAGGTCTGTATATAAGTCTTCTCGGAAATGTTTTTTCTCTTTTACAGCATACTTCACAAGTTAACATTACATGATTGCTAAGGGGCGCAACTGGTTCCAACGTAACATGTTGCGTTCCAGTATTTGTACATATTATATCTATGATGGATTCGCTATGGTCCGTGTAATGTGTAGGAGACATAACTATTTGCTGCAGATCTACACTGCTTAAAAATATTTTAAGTTTATGAACCTTACTATCATTTAAACCAAGAATATTTATGTTAAAATCGCCGAGCAAAATAAAAAAATCACACGAAGCTAACGAACTTATAGTTAATGTGATTGCATCGAAAAATAAATCAACGTCGAGCCAAGGCGGGCGATATGCTGTTCCGATAGCAAGTTTTCCTGTCCCAGTGTTAAGAGTTAACCACATCTGTTCCACAGACGTGTGCGAAGGATCCACCGGATGGTGATAAGTGTGCACATTTATGCCATGCCTTATGTAGAACCCAACGCCTCCGCCGCGGCCATTGCGCACGCTCAGCGGCCGCGGCGTGTGGCGCAGACTGTAGCCGGGCAAACGAGGCGCGCAGCCCTCTTCTCCCGTACGCAGCCATGTCTCGTTCAGCGCCATTATGTCCACCGAGTGACGTTCCATCGCTGCGATAAATTCCTCGTGATTCGTATTTAACGAGCAGACGTTGAGAAAACCAAATCTATAGTATAATTTAAGGCCTATGAACAAAACAATTACAATAAAAAATTGAAATATTTACATTTAACCAAAAAAAAAAAAACAAAAAGAATTAGTAAGAATAACAACGCCTATTAGAGTAAATAAAAAAAAACGTTTCGATAGTGTGCGCATGATCAACTTTAAAATTTGTATCTGGAAAGACCTAATAATTAAAGAGCGCCTAAGTAGTATACTTCCACTCATATATACTGCCACTAATAATTGTATTATGCGAAAATGAATAAATTGAGCTTTATTGTAAGTAAAAACCCGGACAATCAGCATTGAAACGCAACACAAAACATAGTCGATTAAAATACGTATAAAGAAAAAAAAGATTATAAACGGAAAAGATATATTACAAGGAGAATATTTAGTGAAAACTCGGACAATCAGCATTGCAACGCAACACAAAACATATTCGATTAAAATAATTATAAAGTAAAAAAATATTCTAAACGGCAAAGAGGTGCTACAAAGACAATATTCTGCGATTGCAAATGTAAAAAAGACATAAATATGGAGCAAATAATGTTTTTTTGTGAAAAAGTAACATTGTTGTGGCATATTGAATAAAGCAATATTCAACTGAATGACATACTGAATACAATCAACTTCATACAAGATAATAGAAAAAAATAGCAAAAAATACATAGACCAACAAATCAAGATATAAAAATTTTCTTTATGTCATTTTCATTTTTAATTCGCTCGGCTACCTTACCGTCATCCTTTCTAGCAAAAATGTTACCATTTCTCGTCCAAACATATTTCCACTGGGCGCGTGATGCCGCTTCCCGCGCCATGCCAAACAGCTGTCGGTTCAGCCGCGTGAGACGCTCGTTGACGAAGAACCGGCGCGGCTCCCCCGGCATGCTGATGTCGGCCGAGGTGAGGCCGCGGCGCACACGCGCAGCACGCAGCAAGTCATCGCGCAGGGCTCGGCGCGCCAGCCTGACGACGATGGTGCGCGGGCGCGGTGACGCGGTCGCGTCCTCAGCGGCGCGGTTGCGCCGCGGGAAGCCCACCCGCTCCGCGAATACAACATCTCGGTCCTCCAACTTCATGCCTAGCTTTACAGCTATAAGCCCGGTTACATGCAAGATGTTTTCATTTTTTTCTTCAGGTAGGCCGGAGATTTCCAGATCGTTATGCAGAGATTCTTGTTCACGCTCGTTCAATTGTCGCTTCAATTCGGTAATCGTGTTTTCGAGCTTCTCCACATTGCCGGGAGATTTTACTTCGCAGCTTGTCTCCAGTGTAGACACTTTGTCTTCCAAGGCAGTTAAACGTGCGCCGCATGAATGCAGCTCTGCTTTGAAGTCGAGAATCTCCCTCCTGCAGTCCGCAATCTCAGTTCTTGTTTTGCTCAGCTCACTGCGCAGATCTCTTATCTCCTGCATAAACTCCCGTAGCATGTGGTTGTTCGTTGTGGGTGTATTCTCACTTAGATCTGATTGAGGGGTTGACTTTTCTGACGACATATCACCACATAACGTTTTTGATGCCCTCGAGGATGACGTCGGGTCTGGTTTGGTTTTGACTTTGCAGCCTTGGCACGCCCATCCTTGAGGTGTTGTCCCCGTCGGTACAGAACAGCAAGCACGATGATAATTATTTGCGCATTTTGAACACCTCACACAGTCCACGTTGGACAAAAATTTACCACAGTACCCGCACTTAGGCATTTTCTTATTAATTGTAAGTGTAGCGGTATTAGTATCACTGTTCGTGTAAAGATGGCGTTGTGCTTAGTTCCGTTGATAATTTTATCCACAATTTTACATGTATTGTTTTGTGGCGAACAAAATACACTGAATTGATCCAATTAGAGCTCTCGGCAAAAATTAAAACTATTTTACTAATTGTTTGTACATAATATTTTGTTTTTTACTCGGAGGGTATGTCAGCAGCAGCAGTTCACAGTCCACCTAGTATCATTTGTTAATTTCTTTTTAATTTTAGCACATATTCACTGGAAAACACTTCCACACATTAATTATACGGCACAATTAACTTAGAGATGGAACTGACTATAAAACACCGATGTTAAATATTTTTAAAACTAAGATATCGAGTCGGCCTATAAACGTCACAGACCGACGCCATAACACCAATATATCAAATATTTAAATATATTTAGACCGTTATTGAATGTAGCGATTGCACTCGGCAAATTTATTAAGTTTTATTAAGATAGTAGCCGTGCTATTACCCGTACGGGTTCCCGCCTTGTCGTGGCGGGGGGGGGGGGGCTTAGTAGCCATGGCTTGGTCACTCGCGGTGAACAAAGAGGAACCCCTTGGCTGGCCCGTGGTGTAGGGCCGGCCCGAGGTGGTCACTCCGAGTGGGCTTGGTGAGCCCACTTCGGATGTGTGTCGGTGGGCTGCGATGAGAGGATTGTCCTCTCCCACTACTGCAGCAGCCGAGGTGGAGTCGCGGAGGAAGAGGAGTGTTGGTATGGCGATGCGCCATTGACCCTATCCTCCGCGACTCTGACGGGGCCGCACCGTTGATGCGGTCTCAGTATTGCGAGGCACCGCTCACCCTACCCTCCGCGGCCGAAACTTGGTTGGCGGCGTAGCCTGAGACCAGATCTGCCGCTGGGGTAGCGAAAGCGGGTGCTACTAAGCGCTTGATTTTCCTGGCCCAATGGCCTCGGCGTATTGGACTCGGGGTGGTCCTCCCCCGAGAAGGGGCTGCCATGGGGCGACCGGCGCTGGTGGGGCCGCGGATGTGTGCGAAAGCGTTGCCGTGGCCCTGCCAATATGCGGCGAAGGTGGAACACCATCGGGTTTTAGTCGGTGCGATTCCGACATAACCCGTCCTTGCCCCCACGAGGCGAGTATGCGTAGGCATTTCCCCATGTAAAAAAGCCATACTATGACCAGGACGGAAATCGGATTTTAAACGATTTAATAAATTGTGCTTATTAAGGAAAAGGGTCAGCTGTTGGCAAATAAGTTTTTCAAGGACTATAGAAAGGAAAAGTAAAATCGAGATGGGACAGAAATCGGAGAGGTTGACGGGATTAGATCTCTTCGGAAGGGGTATAACATGAGCACTCTTCCATGAGGGAATTTAGAGGAAGAGACACCTGCATTAAATAAATAAGTGATAATGGGAGTGATAACATCAAGGAGAGGAACAATTATATTACAGCTAATGTTGTCGCTACCGACATTTAAGGAGACGGATAATATGATCTTCTTAACATCACATACGATAAATTGACTAAAACGAACGGAGGATAATTAGAAGTTGGGGTTACAGAAAGAGAACGAAGTGTTTGCAGTTTATGTTCACTATCAAAAGAGTTAGAAGGATTAGAAAAATGTTGATTTAATAGTTCAACATCAACACTAGGAGCTGAAGCATTTATGGATGTTCTACCAACTCCAACTGTCTTAAGAAACTTCCACATCCTAGATGAGTCACCGTTCTCTACTGATGTATGAATATGGCATCGTAGTGCATCTCTACTTAATGTGTTGCAGCGATTCCTGATTTTGGCGTATTTCCTTAGGTTTTCCTCTGTTTTATCCCACTTAAGCTTTGACAATGCCGCATTTTTCTTCAAAATTAGCCTTTTCAGACTTTATCGTCAATGGTGGTGCATGGTGCTCTCTCAATCACTGACCAATCAATATTATGGGCATCTTCACAAAGTTGGTCAATATCCATTCCTCCAAAAGTACGTCGCAGAACTAATTTACGTTTGATTTTAGGACGGCGTAGTTTATACGAAAGGAAAATTAAATCGTGATAAGAGAATGCATCAGCAGGACACTGTCCATGCTTGAAAACTAGATTTGAAGATGTCACCATTATTAAGTCAAGAAGGGAAGGAGTACTGTTAGGAAAGTTATGAGTAGCAGAAAGCGGTAGGATTTGCATATTATACGCTTCAATTATAGACTCAAGTTTTATAGCCCGATTGTCGCCTTTAAGCAAACAGGTATTAAAGTCACCCATCAAAATGGTATGACTATATGTAGGGATTAGTGATTCTAAAAGGGATTCGAAAGAAGTAAAATAGTTTATAGAAAGAGTGGGACTGTAGAAAAATCCAAGTAGGATTTTATTCTGAGATAGGGAAACCTCAACCATTAATTTAAGAACGCAGTTGTATGAAGAATAATGTAATGTAATGAAGAAAGATTTTTCAGATATTTCAAGAATTTATACATATACTAAAACCAATATAAAATATATTTCAAAGCGACAGTCAAAACCACCAATTTTAGTGGAAAGTCCGCTAACTTGGCAACATTAGACAAAACTCAGTGTCAGCACGCGCCGAACGCGACGCGTTATATGACGTCATTAGCTTGCGTCCTTCAATATTCGGATACCTACCCCATTTTATAAAATTCGGCGTTTCGTTGCCGGAGTGATGTGCAAAGTTTCATATGCTTTCATACAACGAATTCTAAAATGCGGTGTATACGGTGCTTACGGTGCTGACAAATGTGCGTTCGATGCTTTAATTGTCGTTATGTCGGCACCAGGTGGCCGAAATTTCCAGCAAACATTTTGTATAGGATGTATTAAAAAAACATAGCTACAATACTTGACTTAGTAATTTTTAGGTTTTTTTTTTGATACGGCGCCGTTTACGAATGCAAATTACTGACGTTCAGCCGTAATGACGTTACGATATGCTGACTAAAACGGCAGACAATGTCTAGTCCTCTCTAGCTTGCTACATATTTATTTATCTATGGTCTAGTCTGATTACAAAACGACTAATAGTTCTAATATAGCTTGATTAGATTGACAGCTGTCATCAAAAGTGACGGCATAACTTTATACATATAATAGCGTCCAACGTTCTTGATAAAGAGTAATTGTGGTTTTTGTGGCCCAACGTAACGAGTGATTTGATTAATATTGGAAAACGAAAAATCATTAATTTCTGGCGAGTGAACGACATTTTTGATGACAGTTATTCACTTAAAAACGTGTATAACACATAAATTCGGCTTTGAAACTGATATATTTGTTTAATTTTGTAAATCGCAAATCTTTTTCCTTCTTTTTTTATGGATATAAACGACTACTAATTTTGGTAATAAAACTTTCTTAAAAAGCGATGGTTTTATAACCGAAATTAGTTTGCATTATTTACTAAAAATTTATAGGCAATATTTGATATTTACAATATTAACCTACGTATACAAAAATCCTATTGTATACAAAAATTTACCTTTTTAGCGATATCGCAGTAATTATTCAAAATGTCTACCGTTTCTTTCTAAACAGAAACTAGCACGTCTTTATAAATTGCTTGTTAAACTTTCACTAATACTGGGCTTCTTCTTTGTACACTAATCGTTCTAGTTCGGTCGGCCCAAGTCTAGAGGTGTTAGGTATGGTGATCTCGCCGGCCAGTTCACAGGTTTTTTTTTTTTTTTTTTTTTATAGGATAAGGGTGACAAACGAGCACACAGTCCACCTGATGGTAAGTGGTTGCTGCGGCCCATAGACATCTACATCTATCCTCGTTTGCGAATCAAAATGCAGATGCGTTGCCACCCGTGAGGACTAAGATGGAATGCCTCATTTCCAGTAAAAAGGGCCTCCGGCCACCTGCACTCACCGAGCGAAACGCAGAGGTAAACCTCTACTTCACGCTGGTATTCTGTGAGGTCGTGGTACCACCCCGGTTCGAGCCGGCCCATGCGTGCGACAGCAAAAGCTGCCGCGTGGCTCTACCACTGCGACCTATCCATCTATCACCGAATTGGCTATTGGCGTCTGGCAATGATGTTGTCGTTAATGATTGTCACCCAATCGTTAACACTGAAACGAACTTGATAAGAATATTCTTTGATTTTGTGTGGGTTTTGGAAATACCACCAGTGTTCATTATGCACGTTGTAAATTCCAATACGGGTAAATATCGACTCGTCGCACCGTCTATGTTTTCACCAGACAAGACATAAAATCTCACCATTGCTAAATACTCGACATTAGAGTATTGGTACACTTACATGTTTACAATAACTATCAGCAGGAGGGCCGACACTCACACGCAAAAACAAACAACGTCGTACGTCACGCCGTAGCTAATCGCAGCAGGTGACTGAAATCTGAAATGGACCCTGTGAAAGAACAAGGACAAACAGGTGCGGTTAGTGCGTTTTATTGCCGCTCGTAAAGTAGGGTGCGTATGAATTAAACTTCGATAGTTTTTAATTGATTTATTATTTTATTTCAAATTGCATTTTATGCCAAATTGCAATATGGCAATATGGCAGGTTTGAAAGATGACCTTATCACAAAAATTGATAAGGGCGTGCTTCGGTGGTTTGGGCACGTTGAGCGAATGAGTGAAGACCGAATGGTGAAGAAAATATATAGCGCGAAAGTTAATATTAAAAGGTGTCGAGGTAGACCGAGACTAACTTTCGAAGACCATGTGAGCAAATTGCTCGAAGAGGGTAGGGTCAAGAGTACTCGGATACCTAGACGTGCATGCATGAAGAAGATAATGAATCTGAAAGAAGCGAAAGAGGTTTGTAAAGATGGTGACACTTGGCGATCTGTTCTCTCTGGCTACCCCGTCAGGGGTTGTGTTTGAAGATAAGTAAGTAAGTAGTAATTTTATTTCAAAACTTTTGTTTTTATATTTTAGTATGGAAAGTTTACTTCAAATTAATAGTATTTATTAATAGATCAATTT